GCAACTAGCAATGCAGTCTTCCTCTTAACTGCCATCTTGAATCCTTTTTTTTTTCCTTGAGTCAGGATCTTGCTAAATTGCTGAGCCTTACTTTGAACTTGGAATCCTCCTGCCGTAGCCTCCTGAGCTGCTAGGATTACAGGCATGTGTCACCATGCCAGGCACATTTTTACTTCTTCTTTTGAGAAGTGTCTGTTCAGCTCATTTGCCATCTGTTGATTAGATTACCTGTCCTTTTGGTGTACCATTTTTTGGGTTCTTTATATATTCTGCATTTTAATCCTCTGTCAGATGAGTAGCTGGCAAAGATTTTCTCCCATTCAGGAGGCCATCTCTTCACTCTTGATTTTTTTTCTTTTGCTCTGTACAAAGTTATTAATTTGATGTAATCCCATTTGCTGGTTTTTGCTTTTGTTTCCTGAGCTACTTGAGGCCTGTTCAGGAAATCATTGCCTATACTTATATCTCAAAGTGTTTCCCCTATATTTTCCTCTAGTGGTTTCAAGGTTTCAGATATTACGTTAAGGTCTTTGATTTATTTTTACTTGACTTTTGTATAGGGTGAGAGATAGTGATCTAATTCCAGTCTTCTACAGGTAGAAGTCCTATTTTTCCAACACCATTTGCTGAAGAGGCTATCATTTCTCCAATTTTTGTTTTTGTCTCTTTTATCAAAAATCATATGGCTATAGAATGCATAGGTTTATTCCTGGGTTCTCTATTCTATTCCATTGGTCTACATGTCTGTTTTTTTATGCCAATACCATACTGGTTTTGTTACTATTATTCTATAGTATATTTTGAAATCAGATATTGTGATATCTCCAGAATTGTTCTGTTTGCTAGAATTGCTTTGGTAATTCAGTGTCTTTCATGTTTCCAAGTGAATTTCAGAGTTTTTTTTTCTAGCTAATTCTATTAAGGATGTCATTGGAAATAAAAAAAAAAGGATGTCATTGGCATTTTGATGGGAATTGCAATGAAAATGTATATCACTTTTGGTAGTATGGCCATTTTAACAATATTAATTCTCCCAATCCATGAATATGAGATATCTTTCCATCATCTAGTGTTTTCTTCAACTTCTTTTTACTGTGTTTATAATTTTCATTGTGGATGTCTTTCACTTTTTTAGTTGTTTATTCATAGATGTGTGTGTGTGCACGCTCATGTGAATGTGTGTGTGCACACATATGCTCACACACACACATATGAATCTATTATGAATGGGATTGTTTTCCTTCTTATTTTTAATCTGGGTTTATGTGTGTGTGTGTGTGTGTGTGTGTGTGTGTGTGTGTGTGTGTTGCTGGGGATTGAGCCCAGGGCCTTATTCCTTATACATACCAGGCAAGTGCTCTACTACTGAGCTATACCTCCAGCCCTGTTTTCCTGATTTCTTTCTCAGCAAAATAATTGTTGGTATATAGGAAAGCTACCTATATGTTTTCATATGTTGATTTTTGTATCATGCTACTTCGCTGAATTTATTAATTCTAAGAGATTATTGTGGACTCTATGGGTTTTCTGAGTGTAGAATAATATCATCTGCAAACAGGGATGCTGTATCTTCCTCGTCTCCTGTTTGTATTACTTTTATTTCTTTCTTTTGCTTGATTGCTGTGGCCAAAGCTTCCAACACTATATAGGAATAGACAAATGGTAAGAATGGACACCCTTGTCTTATTCCTGATTTTAGAGGAAATACTTTACTTCCTCCCACCCCTCACCCCCCCCCTCATTCAGTATGATGTTGGCAATGGATTTGTTGTGGGTAGCCTTATTATGTTGAGGTATCATCCTAGTTTATTCAGGATTTTTATCATGAAGGGATGTGGAATTATTGAAGGTTCTTCCAGCATCTATTGAGATGATGCAGTTTATGTGGTATATTACATTATTGATTTTTGCTTCTTGAATTAACTTTACATTCGTGGAATGAAGCCATTTTCATCATGGTATATGATCTTTTTCATTGATGTTAAATTCAATTTATAAATAACTTATTGAGGATTTTTGCATCTGTGCTCATCAAAATTATTGGTCTATGTTATTGTAATTTGGGATTACAGGTGTGCACTATTGTGTCTGGCAGTCTGTGTCTTTTAATTGAGGAATGCAGACCATTTACACTCTTGGTTGTTGTCGTTATTATTATTTAAACATCAGGCCCAGTTCTTATTTTTTTAAATATTTTTTTAGTTGTCAATAGACTTTTATTTTATTTGCTTTTATGTGGTGCTGAGAATTGAACCCAGTGCCTCACACATATAGGCAAGCGCTCTACCACTGAGTTACAACCCCAGTCCTGGTTATTATTGAAATGTTCCAGTTCCTTACATTTTGTTGTTTTTCTTTTGGTTGTTTTGAGAATTTTATATTTTTTTCCCTTTCCCTCATTCATCTTAGGGGTTTGATGATTTACTGAAATAATCAGTAAAGAGAAGAGGCTGTTAAGTCTTAGAGATTTAAAAATGTAGGGTCCCTTCCTATTTTTGATTTGCATAAGTACTCTTCTAGTGCAATTTATTCTTTCCTATGCTTTTGTGGTCGTATTTATCTTGCTTCCTCCTCTAGACATAGGATTTCTTTGAATATCTTCTGTAATGCTGATTTAGGGGTCATGAATTCTTTTAGTTTATGCCTATCTTGGAAGGTCTTTATTTCTTTTTTCAATTCTGAAAGATAAATTTGCTGGACATTGTCATCTAGGTTGGCACTTACAGCTTTTAGGCCTTGAAATGTATCATTCCATTCCTTCTGGCCTTTAGAAGTTCTCAGAAATGTGCTGCTGTTCTTGTGGGTTCGTCTTCATAAGTGAATTGATGCTTCTCTCTTGTAAATTTTATTACTCTGTACTTTTGGTATTTTAACTATGATATGTTATGGAGAGGTTCTTTTCTTGTCATGTCTCTTTGAAGTTCTAAGTATGTCAAGGTTTAGATATGAGGTTTAGATATGAACTCATGTGTGAGACAATGCAAGAAGATTCAGAGGTGAAGTGATTAGATGATGATAGTTATAATCCAGTCAGTGGATTAATCTTCTTATATGGATTAACTGAGTAATAACTAAAGGTAGATAGGCTGTGGCTGGAAGAGATGAGTTATAATATGGGTATAAGCTTTTGGGGCTTATGCTTTGTCCCCAGTGAGTGGAGCTCTATTATTGCTTTCTGATTTCCATGTCCTGAGGTGTTTTCCTGCTCTACACTCTTCCACCATGATGTTCTGCCTCACCTCAGACCCATAGCAATGGAGTTGGCCATCTGTGAACTGACCTCTGAAACCATGAGTGCCAAATGAATTTTTCCTCTTCTAAATTGTTCTTGTCAGGTTTTGGTCACAGTGGTGAAAAAGCTGAATAAAACAAAAATGGTTCTACTATCTGGATTTCCATATCATTCTCATGATTTGGAACATTTTCTGTCATTATTTCACTGACAAGGGAGAACAAAACAACACAGAACCAAAAAAAGACAAACACAAGAACAAGAAAAGTCAAATGTTCCTCCTTGATATGATATTTGAAATTGAGATGCTTCTTTCCCAGACCTCTACTTTTGGAATCTGCCAGTGGGGTGGGTCATGGGTCTCAACTGCAATCCAGTGTGTTTCTTCTTACTTCCGAACAAACCAGTTATAGCAGTATTTAGGCTAAGTCCCCACTGCATATTTACCCACTGGCTCAAGCTAAACCAAAGTTGTCTATAGCTGGGACAACTTTAAGAGGACAACTTTAAGAGAGATCCTACAGAATGGGAAAAAAAATCTTTGTCACTTGCACCTCAGATAGAGCACTAATCTCCAGGATATATAAAGAACTCAAAAAACTTAACACCAAAAACAAAACAAATAATCCCATCAATAAATGGGCAAAGGAACTGATCAGACACTTTATAGAAGAAGAAATACAAATGGTCAACAAATATATGAAAAAATGTTCAACATCACTAGCAATTAGAGAAATGCAAATTAAGGCTACACTGAAATTTCATTTCATTCCAATCAGAAAGGCAATTATCAAGAATACAAGTTACAATAAGGGTTGGTGAGGAAATGGGGGAAAGGGCACACTCATCCATTACTGGTGGGACTGCAAATTGGTGAAACCACTCTGAAAAGCAGATTGGAGATTCCTCAGAAAACTTGGAATGGAACCAAAATTTATCCGACTTCTCAGCACATACCTAGAGGACTTAAAATCAACATAGTGACATGGCCACATCAATGTTCATAGCAACTCCATTCACAATAGCCAAGCTTTGGAACCAACCTGGGTGCCTTTCAACAGATGAATGGATAAAGAAAATGTGGTATATAAACACAATTGAATATTACTCAGCCATAAAATGGAATGAAATTATGGCATTTGACAGGAAATGGATGGAACTGGAGGATATCATGCTAAGTGAAATTTTCCAGTCCCACCAAACCAAAGGCCAAATGTTCTCTCTGATATGTGGATACTGACTCTCAATAGGTGGTGGTATAGGGGGTAGACAAGGAGAGAAGAGTGGAGGTTCACTGGATTGAACCGGGACAATATGGGGAAGAAATGGGGGATGAGAATGGGAAAGGCAATAGAATGAACTGGACACAACTCTCCTATGTTCATGTATGAATACATGACTAGTGTAACTCCACATTATGTACAACCACATGAATGGGAAGTTATACTCCATGTGTGTATATGATATGTCAAAATACATTCTTCTTTCCTGTATAATGAAAGGAAAAAGAAAAAATAAGTAACCCTTTTCCCCATATTTTTATATTTTTTCCTTCTGTGACTTCCATAATGCAATCATTTGTTCACTTGATGTTGTCTCATGAGTCTCTTGATGGCTGTCTTGATTCCTTTTAATTTATTTTCTTTTTCCTCTGACTGAGTGATCTCAAAAAGACCTATCTTCAAGTTCACAGATTCTTTTATTTTGTTTGCCCTATTCTTCTATTAAAGCTTTTGATTGTATTTTTAATTTTGTTTTTTTTTTTCAGCTCCAGGATTTCTGTTTGCTTCTTCTTTTATGGCATTTATCTCCATTGAATTCCTCATTCAGGTAATGAATTTTTTCCCTAACATCACTGAATTGTCTATTTGTATATAGCTAAGTTTTCTCAAGATATTAATTTTGAATAATTTTACAGGTGATTAATACATTTCCACTTCTTGGGGGTTAGTTTCTTTTTTGGGGAAATTATTATGTTCCAATAATGTGCTGTTATGTTTCCTTGCTTTTTCATGTTCTTGTGGCCCTGCATTGATCTTAATGAATTTTTTGTTACTGTCACCTCTTCAAACTTAAGACTGGTTTTCAAGATTTTTACCTGGGATGGGCCTGAGGATACTGTTTGGGCAGTGTACAGTGGTTCTGGTTCCATGTGGGTACAGTGGTATGACCTCCATGCCGCTTCTTCAGTTGTCATCAATTTAGCTGTGACTGGTTGCCTCAGCAGTGTGGGTGCTAGATGTTTGTGGCACTGATAGTGGCTGCAAAGTTGTTTAGGGAAAGAGCTTTAGGAATCTTCCTGTTCTTGTCTTCTTCATAGTGGAGAGTCTTTGATGAGGTGATCTCTCATAGTTTAGGGTCTGACATATCTCACAGGCACCCACAAACAGCACTAGGATTCAGGGCACAGGTGCATATGGTGACTGTGGAGCCAGATTCCTAGGATCATGGCCTTGCAAAACTACCATATCACCTGAATCGTAGGGTCATTCTCCAAGACATGAGTGAATGCAGTTCTACTATGCCAGGATTTGTTGTTTTGAAGCATAGTCTGGCAGCTCAGGCTCAGGGGGCTGGGATATAGTTATGGTTCGGATTCTGGGTGGTAAGAGGACGAACTGGCATGGCTCCAAAGAAGTGTTTTGGAGGCCCAGGCCTTAGGGACCAGGGCACAGCTATAATTTGAACCAGTAGACCACAGTGGCAGCTCCCACTTCAGGATGAGGTACTCTGCAGTTGAGACTCTGGATCCTGGGATAGTGAGATACAGCAGTAGCCCAGCTCTGTGAGGCTTGGTGCAGCAGTAGCAAGGACCAAGGAATGTCAATATGTCTGGGGGTGCAGGAAAATAGCACAGCAATGACTTTACTTCCCACAGAGGGAAGTATCTCAGCAGCTTGGTCTGTTAGGGACTAGTCTAGTTCTGACTAGTATGGAAGAACATCATACTAGTTTAGCCAAGATTCTGATTCCCTGGCATGTGAGGCACCATATCTCCTTGGCCTCAGAAAGTGTGACTACATGAGTCTATGGAGCCTCTGGATACTTGCGGTTGAGACCCTGCATTAGCTATTATGCTGAAAGATGCAGCTGCTTCTGTGCCAGAGGCTTGGAGTTCATAGGGGATGGCTACTGCCTCACTTTTGACACAAGGGAGTATGTTTGCTCCACATGCAGGTGGCTTGAGATTCCTGGCTAGTGGGGTGCTGCCTCAGCTTTGGCACTAGGGGTATAACTACTCTAGTAGTCTGAGACTCTGGCTCTTTAGGGATGGGTACCACTTCAGCTCAGCCATAGGGGCACAGTGCATCGGTGAACTGGGAGAGGAGGATGGAGCAATTCTGGTGTAGCTTGCCCTAGGGGCAATAGCTCTGTTTAGGGATCCTGTGCTAACTGGTGGGAGTGGTTTGGTGGAACCTCAGGTTGAAGAGGTGCAATTGGCTATTTTCACTTGGAGCAGGACACAGTCTAGGAGTATCTCTGTTTCCCAGATGGTGAAGCTCAGAAGCAGCACAGGAAGTTGAACATAGTATCAGTGCCTTCTCTGGAAGCAGCTCAGAATGTGGCCTCAGGGGAACTCCCACAGTAGTGAAGACACTTGATTTTGTGGTGATGATGGGGCTGTTGGGGTCCTTTGCCTTGCCTTTTCTGCTGCAGGTTGAAATCCCACCTAGTTTGTGGCTGACTCTGACTGGGGGAATGGGTTGGTAGAGGCAAAGTGTGTTTCTTCCCTTCTATATATGGCTATCTTGGGTTTCTGTGCTCTGCAAGATTTCTGCTACATCCTTGTTATTCTCCACTGCTCTCCTTTAGTTATTTTGGTTGAAATGTAGTTTATTGATTGCTTTGGGGTTTTTGTTGGAGGCAAGAATTGTAGGATTGTCTGGTCCCCCATCTTGCTGATGTGCGCCCCAATGTGAATTCTTCACTTACCAAAGTTTAATGTTAATCAGTACTTTTCCTCTCCTCCCAGAAAACAAAAGGACCTTTGGACTCATTTCATCTATCCCTTCCAGCTTTTGTATTTTTGTTTTCAGATATTTAATGCTATGAGTATGTTAATTAAACCCAAAGGATAGTATCATTTTTATATAGTGCTCAGTTAAATATACCACGACATTTACTGTTGGTTTTTGTTTTTGTTTTGTTTTGTTTTGTTTTTTTACCTTCACTTCTTTTTACATCTTAAACTTTTTAGCTAGGATCATTTTCCTTTATTCTAGTTATCATTTAGAGTTTACTTTAATGAAGCAATTTTAGCTCAACCTCTTTTTTTTCAGTTTCAGTTTATCCCCAAAGTTAAAATTTTGAAAAGTAAATCTGCTATGAACATTTTTGTGTTAATCTTTGAACACATATTTTCATTTCTTCTAGGTAATTTGCTAGGAGGAGAATTGCTGCATTGTATGACAAATATATGTTTAAATTTTTAAGAAACTGCCACACTTTTCCAAAGTGGCTGTATCAGCTTACATTTCTGTTAGTAGTAGCAAGCTCTCAGTTTCTGTATATCCTTGCCAACATTGTATTATCAGTATTTTTTATTATATCTGTTCTAATAGGTATGTAGTGGTGTGTTATTAACATTTTAATTTCAGTTCCCCTAATAATGAATGATTTTGAACATCTTTTCATGGGTTTATTAGTCATTTATTTATCTTCTTTGGTGGAAGAGATTACAGGTGTGCACCACTATGCCCAGCCAGATATAAACCTAGTGCTTTTAAGTGTAAACTAAACGTTGGCTCTAGGAGCTCTTCATCATCTCTAGGTGCTTCATCCATGAGTTTTTATTGATATAATTAGGGTCCCCAAGAAAGAATATAGAAATTGCCCTTTAAAGTTGCAAATATCTCTAGCCATCTTATAAGTTGAGGATTAGTCATGCCTTGAAGAAAGAGGGGAAAAAAAGAGAATGTCTTAAAAAGGATAACTCTCTTCTTCAAATTCGCCTGCTTTTCAATTTTTTTCCTTTTTTTCAAAAATATGCTTTATTTTTTTAAGAGAGAGAGAATGTTTTAATATTTATTTTTTAGTTTTCAGTGGACACAACATCTTTAGTTTATTTTTATGTGGTGTGGAGGATCGAACCCAGTGCCCTGTGTATGCCAGGCGAGTGCACTACCGCTTGAGCCACATCCCCAGCCCCCAAAAATATGCTTTATTTTTAAGAGCAGTTTTAGGTTCACAGCAAAATTGGCTGGAAAGTACAGAGTTTCTATAAATCTCCTGCCTCTGCATATTCACTTTCCTCCCCACAGCTACCAACATCCCATTGACACATGATTATCCAAGTCCATAATTTACATTAGTGTTCACCTTTGGCATTGTATATTCTATGGATTTTTTCAAATGTATAATGACATTTGCCTCCCATTATAGTATCATAAAAAGACTTTTACTCTCCTAAATATCCTTTGTTCCACTTATTCATCCCTTTTCCCTTTAACCTATGGCAACCATTGATTATTTACTGTCTTTTTTTCCCACCAATTTGTCTTTTCTGATTGTAATCATACAGCCTATAGACTTTTCAGATTTCTTTTTTCATTTAGTAAAATGTATTTAAGGGTCTTCCCTGTCTTTTCATGGTTTAATAGTTTATTTCTTTTTACTGCTGAATAATATTCCATTGTCTGATGTTCCACATTACTTACTGAAGGACATCTTGATTGCTTCCATGTTTTGACAATTATAAATAAAGGTGCTATAAATATTTGGGTGCAGATTTTTCTGTGGGAATAATTTTCCAACTCCTTTGGGTAAATACCAAGGAGTGGCAATTACTGGGTTGTATGGTGAGTATGTTTAGTTTTGTAAGAAACTGCCAGACTTGCATTCCCACTCTCAAGTGGAAATTCCTTTGGTCCTCCATCTTCCCCAGAGTTGGCTGTTGCCAGGGTTTGGGATTTTGTCTATTCTAATAGGTCTATAGTGCAATCTCATTGTTTAAATTTTCCCTGATGACATATGCTGTGGAGCATCTTTTCAGGCACTTATTTTTCATTTGTCTATCTTTTTTGATGATGTGTCTATTTGAATAAAGTCTTTTACTCATTTAAAAAAATTGGGTTGTTTCCTTATTATTGAGTTTAAGAATTCTTTACATATTTTAGATAAATAGTTCTTTATCAGATGTGTCTGTGGCAACTATTTTCTCCTGGTCTTGCCCTTTAAATATTTTGTCTTTTCATTCTCTTGACAGTGTCTTTCTTAGAGCATAAATTTTAATGAAGTCCTGCTTATCATTATTATTCATGGGTTATGCTTTTGGTGTTACATCTAAAAATTCATCACCAAACTCAAGGTCATCTTGATTTTATCTTATGCTGTACTATAAAATTATTATTGTTTTGCATTTTACATTATGTCTGTGATGAATTTTTAGTGAATTTTTATGAAGAATGTAAGGTCTGTGTCTAGGTTTTATTTTTCTTTTCTTTTTGCATACGGAGGTCTAGTCATTCCTGCACTAGTTGTTGAAAGGACTGTCCTTGTCTTGTCTTTATTACTTTCTTGTAAGTTTTGAAGTTAGGAAGTTTCAATTCAATGATTTTATTTTTCTCTTTCACTATTGAGTTGTCTATTCTGGGTCTTTGGCCTTCATATAAAATTTAGAATCAGTTTGGTGATATCTGAAAAATAACTGGCTGGGAATTTTGATTGAGCTTGTGTTGAATCTTTAGATCAAGCTTGGAGGAACTGAGATCTTGATAATATTGAATCTTCCTTTGCATGTACATGGAATATCTCTGCATTAGTTCTTCCTTGATTTCTTTCATCATTTTTTTAACTTTTCATTACACACACACACACACACACACACACAC